TCCAGCATTATAAAAATAAGGAAAAAGATTTTAATCCATAGGTATAAGCTAAAAAGAATTTAAAAAGTAGAAGAAAAACTAATCCGTTCAATTTAAAGAATAGGAAACATTTGCAAAAGTTCCATCTGTAAAATAATTTTTTTTAAAAAGAATAACACACTGTCTAATGTAGGTTAATTTCACTGCTTATTCTCTTCTGTTTTCAAATTTAATTTAGCTTTAATTTTTTTTGGGGGGGGGGGTAGTCTCTTATAATAATAAGATTTCCTCACCAGATGGACACACTTTCTCTTTCCGTTTTCCTCCCGTTCCGGAGCTGTCCCAACTTCAGCAGCTTCAATGACTGCACTTCTGTCACCGGCAAAAAAAGATTTTCCTGGATCAATCAGGGACTTTGCGGTGTCCCTGAGATCAGCAGGACGTACTCTTCCCTGTCACCGTCTCTTCGGGATGGTTTAGGTCCAAAAGGACCATCCAGCGGCAAAAGTATCGACTGCAATCTTTGAGCTCCAAGATCGGACGTCGTGTCATTGCGACGTCAGCTCCTCCCCTCCAAGTATACATTTTTCTTTTCTTCTGCTTTCTGTGTAGTCTTGGATTTTTTTGAATCTTACCTGTATTTTTGAAGTGGTACAGCCTCATAAAAGATTCACAATTTTGGTAATGATTCGTATTCAATATCATTATACTGCTTTTTTATTGATAAGTATATGTTTGAATCCTCTCTTGTCCACTTCAATATATCTCTTTATTATATCTGGAAAGTCCTTCTTCTCCCTTTGACTATGCAGTTTCGTCATAAATACATTTTCATTACTCTCTTACAGTCAGAAAACATTTTTTTTAAAAAGGGAGCAATTGAACTTGGGGCACATTGATGGCAGAGAAGCAAGTAGAGCAAACTATTAAAATGAAACCTTGTTAAGCATTCTATTTTGTCTCGTCATCTCAAACTGAAGCAGAAAATGCCATAGTCAGCGCCTGTCCAGTCCCAGCTGCCTGCTGGAAGGAATGGTGTCCAGGTGTGCCAACAGACCAGAGGTTCAGCAGAAGAGGCCTGCCTCCTTCCATAGCTGCCATTCGGAAGAAGAGAGGAAGCTGAATAACTTGCCCAGTGAGATGGTGTCAGCAGCTGAAAAGATCAGGCCATCTCCATTCCCATTGGAGGATGTAGGAGAGGTTTTATCTGACACGGATGGTGACATCAGCCAGCTGGATAGTGGAAATGGGAGCCAGCCACCAGAAAGGCAAAGTGAAAGTCAAGCCACACAATCTATTTCCCAGGATGATTGTGCTTCGGAAGGAGCTGAAGCAGTAACAAGAAAAAAATTCACTTTCTTGGAGGCAAGTATTACCAGAGGTGGCTACTTATAAAATATAAAGGCTCTATGGTTGTGATGGTGAACCTATGGCACATGTGCTGGAAGTGGCATACAGAGCCATCTCTCCGGTCATGCCAGCCGTCGCCCATTGCTCTTCGCGTGTGTGGGAGCTAGTCTTTGTGTGCACGGGAGCGCTGGAAACCGAAGAGCAGCTCCCTGGCACACATGCATGTGTCGGGAAGCTGAGCTTCTGGTTTCCGATGTGTGCTGGCCAGCTGATTTTTATGCATGTATGCGCACCAGAAAACAGAAGACCAGGTGACTGGCACACTTGCGCATGCAGGAAACCAGAATCTCAGCTTCCTGGCATGCATATGCACACTGGGGAACAGCTCTTCTGGTTTCCAGTGCTCCCCTGCACACCTGCGGTCCTGTTTCAGCACTTGGTGCCGAAAAGGTACACCAACACTGCTCTATGATAACATTGGTGGAGCAATGTGGGAGTTATGGTAGTACCAGTAATTTAGTAATTAAATCCCAAATAACACCATCTTATGAATACATCATGTTTTGACTTCTGTATGCTTTCAGGATACCGAGATTCTTGATAATAGTGCACATCGAGACCGTGCAAATTTGGGCCGTAAGCGGGGTCATCGAGCCCCAATCACTCGAGCAGGAGGTATTGCGTTAGAGAATGACAGGAACAGCTGGATGTTCAAAGATTCTACAGGTAACATTCCATTAGGGGATGAATTACTGATTTTTGTTATCAGTGTTTTGTGTTGTGTCTATATGTTTTGCTTCATTCTGTCATTTGTGTGCAACGTGTTCTTTTGAAGCTGTTGCATATGTTAATGTCAGTCTTGTGAGATAATCCAGAAAAGAAACACATCAAGGAATACTGGCCCTATCTTTATTTAAAGGTTTCATTAACATAATCGTGCAAGTCTGAAAGTACATCTCTTTGCCCCCCTCCCCCTTGCTTTTACAGTTTAAGAAACTAGAGAGATCCTTTCTGAGGTGTTTCCCACAACCCCATTCCTTCTGTGGACTTGACTACTTGTTATATGACCTTTGCCAAGTGTGCAGCTCTTCCTCCTGTCTCCCAAGAATGTTCTCACATACCATTAGTTAACTATTACCGTATTTTTCAGAGTATAAGATGCACTTTTTTCTGAGCATAAGACACACTTTTTTCCCTCAAAAAGGTGGGTCAAAATCTTATACACTGAATACAGCATTTTTGGCCTCCCCAACCCCGCCCCCTTTGCAAAAATGGCCATGTATAGCCTTTAGGAGGCTTGTAGTGTGCTCCTGGGGGCTGGGGAGGGAACAAATGAGCAAAAAATTGGCTGTTTTTTGTCCATTCCCCCCCCCCCC